TGAAGACTAATGTATAGCTAATTCAACCATGGTCTTTTAAAGCTACTTCCTATGCTTCTGAATTCGGTGCATTAAATAGGGATGACAGAAGAAGAATCGATGCCTTTGAGTTGTGGCATTATAGAATAGTAGTAACTATCCTATAAATTGACAAAAGAAGTTCAACCATGGAGATCCTTTGAGGGAAGAATGATGAAACTTCTTTTCATATACTTTGGGCCTGTTCTTAGGAGGAGATAGTCTTTGGAAAAAGAAATCATGCTTGGAAGGCAGAGTGTCAAAGAAAAAGAAGAATCCTCTCATCAAGATGGATAGACTCAGTAATGTAACAAAGGACTTTAGCATACCAGAGGTGATAAGGATGACACAGGATAGAACAAGGCTCAGATCCACCCTTACAGGATCCCTATGAGTTTGTTTGACTTGAAGGTACCTAATAAGAACATCAACAATGAGAGAGAAATTTGGATAATCTTCTCCTTGAGATTTACAGTCTCAGAAGCCCTCTGTAAGTTCAATCAGTTCAGTCAAAATCAGTTCTAATTTAACAACAAGGAGAGGGATATTAAAAGTCCTGTGACAGAATGAAAGAACCATAAGAATTAGTGAAGTTACAGAAGCAAATCTGTCCAAGGATTGAATCTTGGAAGCACTGCTATCGAGAGATCACATGGAGACTGTCCATTGATCTTTTGAGATTATAAATTTTAAGTAGAGGAAACAGCCCGTCTATCTCCCAAGAAGCAGCTGGTGAATTGGATCACTACTCTTGTGGTTAGCAGTCCAACATACTATGAGCTCCGTCACCTTGAGCTAAATCAATAGAAAAGAGTAATCAGACACATAAAAAAAGTGAGTCCATGTAGTTGTGACAACTTGCATTAGCTCTCTTCTGATTATTTATAATTTCTCAATGAACGGAGACATGAAGTTGATTTTAAGGATGAAAAGCAGTGGAGAGATTTTTGGATTTGAATAATAAGGAAAGGGAAGCTTCTAGACGGTCCTCCAAGGATGAGGAAATGGACTACAGTACAGAATTTTAGAGTAGCAATAATGCTTTAAGTGAAATGAGACATCATGAACAATTGTCTGTTGTTATTAAATTGCATTCAGCTTAGAAGGTGCTGATGTGGCAAAGACTTGTAAGTAAAATTTAATAAATGTTGGGATAAAATGAATACAAGTAAAAGGAAAGCAACAAAAGAGATAATCCTTGGGCAAGTCAGTGATAGTAATGATTAGTCATGAATGTTAAACGAGTTAAGGAAGTAACGTATGAGAAAGATAAGGAAAATGAAAGGAATTAACGTTACTAAGGGGTTTAGAAATGTTGGAAAATAAGTACTATGAGAAAATGAAATACATAATGGGGGGAGGGGAACCAAAAGAAAAGATCCAAAACATAATGTCATTGTGACATTCAGAGATTCTAAAAGACAAAATGACACTGTCTGTAAGGCTTTCCAAAGTTACAAGGCTTTGTGGATGCAGAGTGCCACAATTTTTGTCCTAAAGTGAGTTTTAACTGTTGACCTTTAGATTAGCAACTGACTGTTAATCACTACACTGTCAGGACTCCTCCATGGGAAAAGAGATGGTAGCTATTATAGATTAAATTCTGTCCTTCAAAACATGTACTGCAAATCATAAATCATATTCTCATTTGAGAATTGAGTCTTGTGTAATTTTTATACTAATCAAGTCATATTAACGTAACATGAATTTTAAACATACTTGTTCCTTAGATAGGAGAAATGTAGATTCGGCACAGAGAACAAAACACAAGGGAGGAGAAGAGTCATGATTTGTGGACACCACCAAGGAACCTGGGAAAAGATCTTTTCCCACAGATGTCAGAGGATGAAATTTCTCCTAAAACTTGTGCTGTGAATTTTGATGTGTAGCATTATACTGTAATACTTCCATTCTTTAAAACAGTCCACTGATATTATTTGTGTTGCGTCAGCATTAGAAATTAAATAACACAAAACTCAAATTTACTGCCACCTAGTCAGAACCAATTCATAGCTGACTCACTATCGGTTTTCCAAGTTTATAAACTTCATGGAAGGATTCTGCTAACCTTCCTCCTTTTGAGTTGCTAGTATTAAATTGCCAAGAGAAAGACAGTCTGAATTAGCAGCCCAACTCCCCATGGACTCTGACAAATAATTAAACATTTAAATTGAGGTTACAGATCTGTTATTATTAATAATGTCAAAATCATAGAATAAGGTTAAGAAAGGGAGCATTAAGGTATGGAAGAGCTAATTAAATACATATTAAAATAACTGAGAATTATTTAGTAGAAGTTGTGTTTGATATAATGGCCATGATTCAGAAGGAAAAGAAAATATTCCTGGGAAAAGGTTCATGTCACAAGACTTGGTAAATTTAATCAGTATGCAGAGTAGTGGGCACATAGACAATGGTGCAACAATCTAAGATAGTATTTTAGGGAGGAAAAAAGACATAAAAATGACAATGTAGAGGCAGAGCCTTAGCCAGGAGGCTATAACCATGGGCAAACTCTGAATTTAAACTTCTATCTACCCAAATTGTAATGATATATGTTACTGATTGATAAAGTCTTCCACTTATGGAAGAGGATACTGTATGTTTTATTTTAAGGCGAAGCATGCATAAGGGCTGTATCCTTTTAACATATCTGTTTAATATGAATGCTGAGCAAATAATCACAGAGCTGGAGTACATCAAAAAGAACGTATCATCACGATTGAAGGAAGAGTCATCAATAACTTGTATAATAGAGACAACTCCTGCTTTCTGAAGGTGAAGGACATGAAACACTTACTGAAGAATAGCAAAGTCTATACCTTCAAAAATAGACTCTATGTCAACATCAAGAAAGCAAAAATCCTCACAACTGGGCTAATAGGCCACTTCATGGAGGAAAGACTGAGGTTGTCAATCAATATGTTCATTTTACTAGAGTCCCCAGTCAACACTCATGGTAGCAGAAGTCAAGAAATCAAAAGACTGGAGTAGCGATGAGTCATATTCAGTGGCACTTAACACAGCAATAACATGCAGTAGTTAAGGCACCGGTTGCTCTATGGATAAGCACTCACTGGCTAAACAGAAAGTCAGTTTTTCCACCTCATCAGCTGTTCAGCAGGAGAAAAGACCTGGAGATCATTTTCTTAGGCCTGAATGTCTTCTACCCCGTTCCAATGAGCTATTGAGCCAGTGTTTGTAACCAAAACTATCCCCTGGAATCCTGATTCCCAGTGCCCCAGATCAGTTACAGTAGACATCCAGGATGGGGCTTACACATAAGTATACTTTAGCAATCCTGGGTCAGTCCCAACGTGCAGTGATGCAAACTCTAGAACCATGCATCTCTCTCCAGAGGTGCTGATCTACATGGAATCAAAAGATTTGGCATGAAATTTTGATAAAAGCAATTACGTCTATGCTTTTTCAGTGGAGGTTGTCTCAGGCATAGTGTTCAAAAAAATTGAACTGTCAGAAATTAATACAAGAATAATAAGGGAATGTTTCTTCTTCACTGGACACCCAAGATGAATAGCAGTAAAATAAAATTTTAAATTGAAACAAATATGTATACTATTCTAGTTTTTTTGTTTATTTATTTGTTTTTTTTTTGTTAAAGGACTACACAATGAGTAATGAATATATTTAAAAGACCAGACCATCAAAGACTATCAATTTCTTTCAATAATATTAGTATTGTATTTCCTAGCATCAATAAAACACATTTAATAAAAAACCAAAACAAAACAAAAAACCAACAAAAGATGTGTTACTTTGGGAAAATCTGTTGTCAAGGACTTTTTGAAGTGTGAAAGAGCAAGGGTTTTAGTTTAAAGCTCAAGGAATGTCTGCTCCAGCGATTGATAATGTTTTAATTGTGTGTGTGTGAGTGTGTGTGTGTGTGTGTGTGTGTGTGTGTGTGTGTGTGAGAGAGAGAGAGAGAGAGAGAGAGAGAGAGGTGAATGTTTTAGGTTAGAGTAAAGGAAGGAGGGAGGGAGAAGGGAAAAAGAGGGAGAGACAGCATGCAAGCAAAGAGGAAAAAAAAGTCATTGCCATGCAGTTGAAGGGACTCCTAGTTGACCCTCCAGAGAGTTTTAGAGGCTATAAATCACATGGAAGAATGCTTTCCTATGGTACTTCTGCAGAGCCACTGGGGGATTCAAACTGCCAGAGAGGCGTGACCTTTGGCTCAGCAGTGTAAATCCCTAGTGACTATGCTGCCAGAGTTCTGGAAGACTAAAGAACTGAGGTCTTTGAATCCTAGTATTGGTGGAAAGTATTGATTATCGCATGGATGCCAAAAGGAAAAGAAAAGAAATCTGTCTTGGAAGAAATACAGCCAAAGTGCTTCTTATAGACAAGAGGCTGACTCTTAAGTTTCTGTACTTAGTGTATGCTGCCAGAAAGAGTCAGTCCTTGCAAGGGGAGACATCCTTAGAAAGACAGAAGTCCAGAAAAGGAGAAGGAGACTCTCAAAGAGATAAATTGGCACAGTGACTATAAAACAGGCTTGAGGATTGCGGAGATCGAAGGATGACACAAGAGGAGGCAACGTTTCAATCTCTCATTCACAGGTTGCTGTGAGTCAGAACCAATTCAGGATCACTTACCAACAACAACAAACTTGTGATTTTATCTTTTCTCTTAATATTTTACACTTTTCATTTTTAAATGAAAATCTTGAAATTGTTGATTATGGACAACACACCCTATTTTTAAACACTGTGTCCTCCAATACTTCTCCTATATTGGTGTTGGCATTCTTTCCTTGTTATAAGCAGTTTATTTTCCAGTCATCAGTTTCAAATTGTTAAGATATATAACATGGTGGATGCGTTTCTTCTTGTGGATCCCTGTCCCTCCCCACTTCATCCAAGAAGTTACTATCCCTGCATTGTAGCTGGCCTCTGCAAACAATAGTGGAAGATGTGTAAAGAGCAAAAACACGGGCCTTGGAGAAAATAGACTGAGGTGAATACCTGGCATTTGGAGGTATCAGGATCACACAGACTACTATGTCCATTACACTGGCATGGGACACAGGTGCCCAAGGTTGGCCCAGGTGTGCGACCTCCAGGTTCAGAGGGTGCTCGGTAGAATCCTGGTGAGCATGCCTGTAAAACAAGGAAGATATTTAGAACAGCCCAGGTGGAAATCATACCTCAACAACACGGGAGTGCTTCAGCATATGAAAAGAGTGACTCCTTTCCTCCCATCTGTGTTATGGACAATACCACCTACAAATGCAGGTGACAGTTATAATGTCTAAAATGTGTATTTCTGCCTGGTCCCTGGTGTGCACAGATAGCACCCGTGTAATCACAATTTTGCAAAGGAAAGCTTTTATTTGTATAAAAAATTCTTAACCTGAAAAGCTTTCAATGTTCTTTTTTTTAAAAAAGCCTGTTTTTTCAATAAAATTGTCATATGAACTAAAGAGATTTGCAGTGCCTTTGACATGTTAAAATCTGCTTCTCTGTATTTGATAGATAACCAGCAAATGCCCAGTGAAACATAGCCAAACATTAAGTAAATAAAAAAAATTGTCATTCTTGCATTATATATGTATTGATATAATTTAAAGACTGTGGAAGGAAGAAATTCAAAATAATAAAAGCTCTGTATATCTTCAAGACTATTAGGCCACAAATAAGATATACTTTCCTCTGTTTATTTTTTTTTCTTTCACATATGCAATGAGAATTAGAGAGCTATCCCAAAACTTCTAGCAAAGCTGACATCTGCAAAATCAAGAATTCCATCTTCATTCTGGTTTATTATGTAAATACACTGACAATATTAAGTTGGCTTTCTGAGAGCCCACAGCACTGAAGAAAGGCTGAAGAGAGACTTGTGTTTCAGACTCAGATTTCTTCATATACAAACTTGTCATATTGTCAGATACACCCTGAGGAGTAAGAGGCACCAGCTTCAATCAAATCTGCCTCCTCATGACCTTACACGTGTCACGAGAAAATGTAACTATGCTCCGGAAGATTTTTCCAACATTTACTATTCCAGAACTAGATTAGTTGGCCTATATTTCCATCCAGACCCAAAATTACTGCCAATGACCCTCCATCAGGTTCCTGAGGCTTCATATTTTTACAAAAGGAAACTGCTCATCTCTCTCTCATGGAACATCTAGTAGACCCAAACCATTAACCTTCTGATTAGCTGCCAAACATATGACAATATTCTATGAGGACATCTTAGGGGGTATATATGTGTGCTTAAACTTTCAACCCTTCTGTGAACATTGACAATGTTAACATTTGGATCCACCCATGACTCTAAGTATGAGGCTAAAAAATGTTTCTGTCATATTACAATTCATATTGTTGTCATATGCAATCGAGTTGCCTGAAACTCATAACCACCCTATAGCTCTGAAACCTGCCCTATCCTGAACCAATTTCATCATCTCTGACAGACCTAATCCCATTGCTGTCATCAGTGGGTCAATCCATTTCATCCAAGTTCTTCTTCTTCTCTTGTGCTGTCCCTCCACCCTTTCAAGTATGACGTCCCTCTCCAAGGACTCATCCCTCTTGGCCACATAGCAAAAGTATGTGAGATGGAGCCTCAAAATCCTTGACTCCAGGGATCAGCCTAGTTTCACCCTCTCCAGGGTAGATATGTTTGTTCTCCTGGCAGTCCATAGTATGTTCAATATTCTTCTCCAGCACCACAGCTCAAAAGCATCAATCTTTTTTTCCTTCATACTTAGAAAACTCTGGCAGGCATCTGCGGGCTGGGACTGCGAGTTAAAATAGTCTAGCATGTGGGAAGAAGGCGGTTCTGACCCTGGCTTACCTTACCTCTTTACTGCAAGCAAGATAGTTTTGGGGCCCAAGGGCCTGTGGTCCTCAGGCCAAGAAAATAAAACTAACACACCTGATCTAGAAAACACATTGCTCTCTCCTGGGAAACTACCCTCTTGCATAAACACTTTGCTGCTTATGGGAGAGAAGAGGTAGTAAGATACAAGAAGTCAGTCCTGGAGTAGAAGTTCAAGGCAAAAGACTTTTCCTCAGAACCCTCTGAGATAGGAAGCCTTTTCTGATACTTGAACCTGATATTTGTACTTAGAGATTCTTAAACTTAAGAGATAATGGCCAGATAAGAAACTGGCAGCAGCATGAGGTGTTCAGAATCACAGAAGCCCCAACACTTGAAACTTAGGCCATAATATCAAGGGCTGAATAAGGAAAGAGAGGTGTTGAATGGTGTAGGTGGAAGTGGAATGGGATGATGGTTGAGTAGGGAGAGGAGTAGATCAAAACCTACGTGTCAAGGGTGAATAGCAGCACTGAATCTATTGGTCATTTTTCTAACTGGGGTAGATGTCTTTCATCTGCTCCTTTCTGTAAAATGTTTGTCTGTCAGACACTATTCTTAAAATATAAAAGACAGACAAGGAAGAATTGTTGGCCATCCACTTCTGAAATAACAGACCTTTGAAAACCCTATGTACAATACAGCCCAATTAGACTAGCAACATGGCAACTGAGGCTGAGATCTCAAATATGAACACACAAAGAGGAAGGAACAGTTGTAAGCAGACATTAGTGATTGGAACACAGGATGTGAAAAGCATGAATATAGGAAAATTAGACATTTTTAAGAAAGAAATGGAACACATTATTGCATATAATATTGCATACTGACAATACTAGGTATTGGTGAAGTGAGATGGCTTGGTATGGAAAATTTTGAATCAGATTAGCATATGATCTATTATGCCAGGGATAAAAAGGTGAGAAAAAATGGGGTTGCTTTCATAATAAAAATGTCATTTGAGATCCATCTTGAAATATAATGTGGCGAGTGACAGAATAATATCCATATGATACAAGGAAGTCCAGTGAATACCACTATCATTCAAATATATGCACCAACAACTAGAGCCAAAGAGGAGGAAATAGAAGATTTCTATGAACATTTGAGTCAGAAATGAATTGAACATACAGTCAAGATGCATTGATAATAACGGGCAACTAAAAGTGTGGAATAGGGAATAACTATTGGTAGTTGGAAAACACAAACTTCGTGACAGAAATGAGGCTGAAGATAGAATGATAGAATTCTGCACATTCAATAATGTATTCATCGCAAATGCTTTTTATAAGAAATATAAATATGTTCCAGGATATACAGATGGATACACATAAGAATAAAATTGATTATATCTGTGGAAAGAATTGCTAGAGAAGCAATATTAGCTGTGAAAACTAGGCGAGGTGCTGATTGTGGAAGAGACCACCAACTATTCATATACAAGTTCAAGCTGAAATTGAAGAAAATTAAATCAAATCCAAAGGAACCAAAATTTGACCTTAAGTCTATCCCACTCAAATTTCAAAACCATCTCAGGAAAGGGTTTGAGGCCTTGAACACCAATGAGAGAAGACCAAATGAGCTGTAGAAAGATATCAAGAATATCCATGAAAAAAATGCAAAAAGTCTTTTAGAGGCAGTAGAGGAAGAAAAGACCAAGGTAGATGTCAGATGAGACTATCAATGTTGTATGAGAGCACCATAAAGTCAAAGCTAAATGAAGAAATCAAGAATTAAAAACCTGAACAGAAGACTTCAAAGGGCAGCTTGGAAAGATAAACAAAATATTATAATGAAATGTGCAAAGAGCTGGAGTTAAAAAATCAAAGGGCCAAACTTGTTCAGCATTTATTAAGCTTAAGGAATTGAAAACTAAATTTAAGCCATGAGTGGCAATACTTAAGGATGCTTAGGAAAGAATATTAAATGACACAGGAAACATTAAAAAAGATGGAAAAGCACACAACGTCATTGTACCACAAGGAATTGGTGGATACAGAAGAATTCCATGAAACAGTATATGAACAAGAAAGAATCTAGTGAGGAAGGAAGAAGTTCAAGCTACTCTGAAAGAATTTGCAACAAACAGGGCTCCAGAAATTGATGGCATACCAATTGACATATTTCAACAAACAGATGCTGCCCTGGATGTGCTCACCAAATTGTGTCAAGAAATATTGAGGACAAGTACCTGGCCAACTGACAGGAAAAGATTGATATTCATTCCCATTCCAAAGAAAAGTGATCCAACAGAGTATGGAAATTATCAAACAATATCATCAATATCACATGCAAGCAAGATTCTGCTGAAAATTATCCAAAAGTGATTGAAGCAGCACATCAGCAGAGAACTTCCAGATATGCAGTCTGGATTTAGAAGAGGCCATGGTGCTAGGGATATTGTAGCTAATCTTAGATGGATCTTGGCTGAAAGCAGAGAATACCAGAGGAATGTTTATTTGTGTTTCATTGACTATGCAAAGGCCTGTGACTGTGTGGATCACAATAAACTGTGGCTGACTCTGAGAAGAATGGGAATCCCAGACACTTGATTGTGCTTTCACGAACCAATACTTGGACCATAAGGTAGTCGTCAAAACAGAGCAAGGAGACACTGCATGGTTCAAAATTGGATAGGGTGTACACCAGAGATGTGTTCTATCTCCATACCTTTACAATCTATACTCTGAACAGATCATCCAAGAGGCTGGGCTGTTTGAGGAGGAATGAATGTAGCATCAGAATTTGAGGAAGATTCATAAACAACCTGCATTATATCAATGACACAACCCTGTTTGCTGAAACTGAGGTGGACGTGAAGCAGTTGCTTCAGAATATTAAGGACTACAGACTTCAATATGGATTAAGGCTCAACGTCAAGATTCTCATTACTGGGCCAATTGGCAACATCATTTTGGATGGTGAAGAGATTGAGATTGTTAATAGTTTTAGTTTGCTTGGCTCCATAATCAACACTCTGGGTACTAGCAGCCAAGAAAACAAGAGACAAATTGCACTGGGAAATTCAGCTGCCAGGGACCTCTCCAGAGTACTGAAGAACAACAAAGTGTTCTAATCTTGCCCAATCCACACCGTAGCCTCTGCAATGCTTGTTACACTTCAGAGAGCTGGACAATGACTAGGGATGATAGAAAGAGAATTGATGCCTTTAAGCTGTGGTGTTGGAAAAGAGTGTTGAATATACTATGGACTGCTAAAAGAACAAACAGGTTCATCCTGAAAAAAATGAAACCAGGCTGATTCTTGGAGGCAA